TTAATATATATATATATATATATATATATATATATATATATATATACTATAAATGAACGAATCGTAACCAGGCGTCTTATATGAATCCGAGTTTGTATTGATCTGTGTATACCCATACGCATACCTGTACATACCGGGCACGAACTGAGTCCCTGTTAATATTTTTCTGTATATGCACATGCAAAAGGTACACACTGTGTGGGAATCTGGCTAATCTCGTATACTCACACATACATTCGTATACAACATCATACGATAGGAACTTGGTTTATTCCGGGTGCGCTCGACCGTGGACCAGGATGAATGCGTGCTGCAGTCTCTAAACGACTCGGAGCTCAAGTTGATGGTCTCTAAGCTGCAGCGGTTGAGTGCTTTCCTCAACAGCCACACAGTCATGTGGCAACGATACGGCGATGAAGCCTTGGAGGCAAAGGTGTGTTGTCTGTTATTTGTATGCATCTGTAGTTTTATACATATATATATATATATATATGTATGTATGTATATATATATATATATCTATATATATCTGCTGAAGGTGTTATATGTGCACTGTATAACATGAATGTCGTCTACCTGTAGGTAAAGTATGCTCATACGTACGTTTGTGTACTAAACACTTCACCATCAGTGCCGGTCCTCGGCACTCATACACCAAGATTGTCAACAACCGTGTACACACACAGTGCTTGTGCTGTGATGTGTCTGTGGTTGTGGTCTTTGTTTGTATGAGCGTATGGGACAATGGCTAAGCGGTGCAAATCTAGACACGTTGTATAATACACTAAGGTGTCAGTTGTTCATATAACACTGGATACTGTTTGTCATAAACGTTTTGTGTCAGTTGTTCCTATAACACTTGGTATTGTATGTCATAAACGTTTTGTGTCACTAATTTTTAACCCATAGATTCAGTTGGTAATATACGTCTGCATCAGTATTCTTAATAAACCTAGGCTTCGTAGTGTTCGCGAGGGAATGTTCGGATAGTATCTTAGGGTTCAGAGTTTAGGATCTACGGTCTACTCATATATACTGGTGTATTCATATCGGCATTCCGTGCTCCGGTTTTTTTCTTCTTTTTTTGTAATAAGTACGCTTTAAATGTACACACGTCTGTTCCCACAGAGAGTGTTTCACCCATTTTTAGTCATAGGCCTTCGGGAATCTGCGTTGCATCTCTCCATATCCACTCTACCTGGTTCAGATTACCAAGGTTTCCAAAGATACACGTGGACATATAACACCCAGATCACATTCCTCACACGCACAACTCCCGTACCTCCACTCGGCAGCACAATCTCAGCGCTGTTGTGGCTCTAAGCTTGCAGTTTATGCATCTGTCGGACATTCTCATCTTCAATGTTAACCGATCAAGCTTCCACAACTTCAACGACTCTCAGGTAAACCATCCCAACACGTGGTGTTTAAACGCATTGGTATACAGGTATAGGTGCTGCACTTAAACGCGTTCATATACAGGTAGAAGACATGTGCTTTGTAATTATACGTATTAAAATCTACTTACCTATACATAGTTGATATACACTCACTATTATCCGTTTACGTATGTTTAAGACTTAAATGTGATGATACCCAGTCATGTATACGCATACAGAACTTATACATGTGCGTCTTATTTGAATATACTCCTTATCTCTTCATATGTATTGCACCTGTCCGTGCCACTAGTCTGGGATCGTCTCGTTTCTATTATTCTATTATCCCCACAAGCAATACATAAGTGAACGTTTATAACTCATACAACCATACCTCAATTGCGTGTGTCTCCTTCATAGTAATTGTTTATAACTCATACAACCATACCTAAATTGCGTGTGTCTCCTTCATTGTAATTGTTTATAACTCATACAACCATACCTCAATTGCATGTGTCGCCTTCATTGTATTTGTTTATAACTCATACAACCATACCTCAATTGCATGTGTCTCCTTCATTGTATTTGTTTATAACTCATACAACCATACCTCAATTGCGTGCGTCTCCTTCATTGTATTTGTTTTTAACTCAAACAATCATACCTCAATTGCGTGTGTCTCCTTCATTGTAATTGTTTATAACTCATGCGTGTGTCTCCTTCATTGTAATTGTTTTTAACTCATACAACCATACCTCAATTGCGTGTGTCTCCTTCTTTGTAATTGTTTATAACTCATACAACCATACCTCAATTGCGTGTGTCTCCTTCGTTGTAACAGTTTGTAGAATGCATGCGCGATATGCAACGGCTAACATTGACTCATGTGCTGTCGGACAATACTGCATTCGAACTCGTGCGCCGACTGACACTGGAGATCACATACACGTGCCTGTTGAATGCAGATATGGAGGTGTGTCCATATATGTAGGTATATGCTTATGTATATGTGTATATATATATTTATATATATATATATATATATATATATATACCTGTGTATGTGCGTGTGTGTGTTTGGGCGCGTGTGTGTGTGTGTGTGTGTGCGTTTGTGCGTGTGTGTATGTGTGTGCGTGTGTGTGTATGTGTGTGATATATATATATACCTGTGTGTATGTGTGTGTGTGTTTATATAATATATACTTATGTCTTAGGGTTCAAGCTTTGATGTTTTTGACAGGGTTCCTTTGAAATTTATCTAGTTTCATTTCATTAAACACTACTATAGAAATATCCGACATAATTTCAGTTCATACAACACAACTATAACAGTATCCGACATAGTAACGTTTGATTCAACATCACTATACTAATATCCAACATAATTACATTGCACTATCCGCAGCTGGATCAATATTAAAGACATTTACGCTAGGTATGTTTAGTATATCCCCGAGTCCAACATATATATCTCTGATGTTATGTCACACTCACACTGTTTTTAACCCCGAAACCCCTAAAACCTTAAAACCCTAACACACTAAAACTGACGATGCGCCTATCTGAACATCAAGTTAACAACCCCATGCACACTCACACAGACAAAGACCGCCATGCGCAATGATCTGCTAAGATCATGTGGATCCTTCTTCGACACTTCCGATAGTGTCACCTTAGAAGGTGGGGTTCTATTTATAGATTGTTGTGTAGCAAGTGTTGTGGTGTGTGTCTGCGTGTTGCCTGTTTTATGCTCTATGTGTGATGCGTTTATATGCATCAGTTCTTTTTCATTGCAACGTTTTATAAGTATTACCTGTTATGCGTATTATGCCGATATATATATATATATATATATTGGCGCGTGTTTGAGTCTGTGCCTGAGTCTTCACAACCCTCCGTGCACCATAAAATGCCACCATACAACACTGACCTCATCTTCGCGTGTGCTCCCCTGCAGTGTATCTCAACCTACAGCAACTGCTAGACATGCCTGTGGCTGACCACGAACTCAGTCCCAACAACCGCGTGCGAAAGACGGTCATGCGCATCATTGAAACATTCTTAGAGAGCGATGTATGTACATGGGTGTGTATGTATCGGTGTATAGTTGTGTTTGTATATACTTTATTTATGCATGGGTACTCAATATAGGGTGTGTTGTATGTGTTGCAGTATGTGTGGAGCAATGTATGTGTAGTTATTATGTGTTCCTCACGGTGTACATCATGATATTATGGTCATTTTATAATACTAATCGTGTACATATGCATAATATATATATATATATATATGTATGTGTGTGCGTACATATATATATATTAATATATATGTATGTATAAATGTATATATATACATATATATGTGTGTGTCTGTGTCTGTGTCTGGGTCAGTGTGTGTGTCTATGTTTGTCTATTTGTGTGTGTGTGTTTTGTCTATTTGTGTGTGTCTGTGTTTGTCTATTACTTTTGTTGTGTGTGTGTGTGTGTGTGTGTGTCTGTGTGTCTGTGTGTCTGAGTTTGTCTGTGTACGTATAATATATATATATATATATGTATATATATATATATAAATATATACATATAATGTTTTGCGAGTCATCCAGTTCCGTCTAAAACGTCGCTACCTATTCTATTTTTAGAATTTAATTCCTCACATATCCCTCTCAAATGATCTTTTTTTTTTAGAACATGGATTTAAACACGCTGACCAAGCTATGCGAGAAACTAGATCTCATACGGGTGCGACACCGTATAGACCTATCTACAGACATTGTGGAGACGTGCCTGCGTGTGGCCTACAAACTGCGCATCCGCACACCCGAAGACATCGAGAACGAAATGCGTCACCGCTTGAACACCCACCCCCACACCCACAGTAGGCACACACACCCCCACACACACGCACACACACACGCACACACACACATATCTGGGGTAGATACAGCACATGAGCGTGTTGGCTTGCGCAAGAGACCTGCAGATGCCATGAGCGGCGGTGCGAGTGGTCGCTCGGGCGTTAGGCGCTGGCGGCCTTTGCGTTCTGCGGACACAGATGAGGTGTGTGTTGTATAGATTTTTGTGGCATAGTGTGTGTTATATAATGTGTTGCAGATATGCAGTATACATAATGTAGAATGGGTGGCATGGCTTTGTGTTGCATTGTGTGTGTTATATAATGTGTTACAGATATATAGTATACATAAAGTAGAATGGGTGGTATGGCTTTATGTGGCATAGTATGTGTTATATAATGTGCTACAGATATGTAGAATGGGTTGTATGGCTTTGTGTGCATAGTGTATAATGTGCTACAGATATGTAGTAACCATAAAGTAGAATGGATGGTATGGCTTCGTGTTGCATAGTGTGTTTTATATAATATGTATAATGTGCTACAGATATGTAGTATACATAAAGTAGAATGGATGGTATGGCTTTGTGTTGCATAGTGTGTGTTATATAGTGTGTATAATGTGCTACAGATATGTAGTATACACAAAGTAGAATGGATGGTAGGGCTTTGTGTTGCATAGTGTGTGTTATACAATTTGTATAGTGTGCTACAGATATGTAGTAACCATAAAGTAGAATGGATGGTATGGCTTCGTGTTGCATAGTGTGTTTTATATAATGTGTATAATGTGCTACGGATATGTAGTATGCATAAAGTAGAATGGATGGTATGGCTTTGTGTTGCAAAGGTTGTAGTGTGTGTAGTATGGCCGGTGTTGTGATGGCTTACGCATCTGTGTACGTGATTACAGACGTACACACAAACGCATACCTCTTCTGTTAGAACGAGAGTCAGAGAACCAAATGGTGTGTATTGCTATCGCGATGCATATACATTATATATTTGTACCTACTGAATTAACTGTGTACGTACACATATTATATCCGTATCGTCTTAAAAGTGTACATACACATTATTACATACACATATCATGTCCATACGGTCTTAAATATGTACATACACATATATCTCCTCACCTTCTAAACTGTACACATGCACATACATATCCTTACCCTCTTAAACGTCCACATACCCATACTACGTCCACACCCACTACTCCCCAGAATGCCAAGCAGCGTCTGATGTGCTATGAGTTGGTGTTCGACTACTTATTGGACTACAACGAGAGTGGTGTAGCAGTACCCAAACACGGGCCTCTGCATGCAGCGATTAGAAGTGACAACACTGAGTTTGTCACCATCCTGTACGAGCGATTCGCCGAGAACGTCCCCTTACACACGTACTTGGTCAGACTTGCGCCAAAGGATCCGACTCTGTTGCATGTAAGTGGCGGGTGCAGTGTATGTGGAAGTGCTTGTTTGTGTATCAGTATGAGTCACGATGAATGTATGTATGTGTGTGTATGTCCTTATGTATACATGTATGTGTGTATGTATGTTTGTATGTATGTATGTATGTGTGTATGTATGTATGTATGTATGTATGAATGAATGTATATATCTATGTCTCGCAGAAGACACCCCCCTGCACACATACTTAGACTCGCCCCAAATGATCTAGCCTCATTGCATGTATGCGTGTCATAAAGTATATGTGGAAGCCTGTCTCTGTATCTCGATTAGTCAGGTTGAATGTATGTATACCATTCACAAACTATCTGTTGAGTAGGTATCCTTATACATACACCTGATCCAATTGCGCCTGAGGCTTTGACACAGCTGCATGTAAGTTTCGTGGAGAGAAGTGTGGCTGTGACAGGTGTCCAGGGCACATGTGTGTGCACCCAAATGAGTCCAAAATATATTTACTTAGTGCTATAAGGGTGTGGTAGACAGTGCATGATATGTGGGCGTGTACACGCATTGGTCAGTGCTTATATATATATATATATGTATATATTTATATATTTATATGTATGTATGTATGTATGTATGTATATGTTTATGTATATGTTTATGTATATGTGTATATATGTGTGTGTGTGTGTATGTTTGTATAAATGTATGTATGTATTTGTGTATTTTTGTACGTATGTAGTTATGTATATATATATGTATCACGTATTAGACAGGTACATCCTAACTTACAAATCCACACACCATAACACGAATGCATCCCAGCATACATCCTACCATCCATATACTTCCCTTCCCATACCAACACTCATTCACCCTCATTGTCCACGCAGAACTTCTTATATAACATGCACACCGATGCCATGGACATGATCTACAGACGCAACCTGAGCCCACAAGGTGTTTGTGAGCAGTTGGCACGGGCAGAGCTTGTCTGTACACGCGAGAGTGTCATAGGACACCCCCACACCTCAGCGCAATTGATGGAGTCCATGGCCGTAGCAGACGGGTAAGGGAGGCGAAGCAAATGTGGATGGTGGGTAACGCGTATGTGCATGATGAGTGAAGGGTGTGCCGATGATTGGTCTAAATATGACATGTGCATGTTTTTGTATGCTGTTATATATGTCGTATGTGTCTGTGTGCTATTATCTATGTAATATGTGTCTGTATGCTGTTATATATGTCGTATGTGTCTGTGTGCTGTTATCTATGTAATACGTGTCTGTATGCTGTTATATATGCTATATGTGTCTGTGTGCTGTTATCTATGTCATATGTGTCTATGTGCTGTTATATGTCATATGTGTTATGTATGTCATATGTGTCTGTGTGCTGTTATATATGTCATATGTGTCTGTGTGCTGTTACATATGTCATATGTGTCTGTGTGATGTTATGTATGTCATATGTGTCTGTGTGATGTTATGTATGTCATATGTGTCTGTGTGCTGTTATATATGTCATATGTGTCAGTGTGATGTTATATATGTCATATATGTCTGTGAGCTGTGATATATGTCATATGTGTCTGTGTGTTGTTATATATGTCATATGTGTCTGTGTGATGTTATGTATGTCATATGTGTCT